ACACCGTGGGTTTAACGGCCTCTCTATTGAAGGCGTTTGGCCTAAACTTTGAGCTCAATCTAGTGAGTGAGTGGGCCTTTCAGATCGACAAACTATTTCACGGCCGGCCGTCGGGTATAGACAACTCTATTTGCACGTTCGGCGGCGCTCTCCTATTCAGAAGCGGCCAAATCGTCGAGAAGTTACCGAAAGTGCAATCACTGCCAGTCATTCTCGTCAACACAAAAGTGTCGCGAAATACCAAAGCGTTGGTAGAGATAGCGCGACGAAAGTACGACAGATTCACGGCTATTGTCGACAATATTTGGTCGGCAATCGATGGCATATCAATGCACGCGTGGAAACTCATTCAACAAAACACCGATTTTCAGGACTTTTCGGTTTGTAATGAATACGAAATGAAGGGAAAGCGTGTAAAATAATGGTAACATTGTTTTCAGACACTATTTGAGATGAACCAGCATTTACTAAACAGTTTAGGTGTCGGCCACCCGGCCATCGATAAGATCGTTGAATGCGCGCAAAAGTATGGTTTGTCAGCGAAACTGACGGGCGCTGGCGGTGGCGGGTCTGTCATTATATACAATACACTCAAAGGTAATGGCATTTAAAGTTACATTTTACTGTTAAATCATTTGCAGACAAAAAGATCGGTTAAAGTAATAAAAATTATTTACAGAAACTGATGTAATCGACAATTTATATAGAGATTTGAATGAATTGGGGTTTGAATATTGGAGCGTTGGGTTGGGAGCGCCGGGCGTTTCATTCGAGTGATGCCTCTCCGTCTTCCATCTCCTGCAACAACAACACATGTAGTTGTGATTTGGGAGTACTGTTGACCAACTGATCGATGATGCGGTAGTTTCCCGGATCTGTCATAAAAACCTATTCAACAAAATTCATTATTTTTATACAAAAATATATTTTTTTACTGGTATTTAACTATTAATCTAATCTAACGGTTATTTTTTATAAATTATAAATAAATATTTTGAATAAATTGTGTTTAGTTTATAAACAAATGTATAATCCATTGAATGTATTTCGAAACAAACCATTTCGATGTGTCCGTCTTCGGCGATAGTGTCCGACTCGAGACTAGTGGCCAACTCTTTCAGTTTCTGCTTATGCTTCTTGTGTGTGATGACCCGGAGCTTCATTTGCGCCCTATCTATAGGCATCACTGTCTTGAGCTGAGGGATCAGTTCAATGGCCTGTTGTTTGCTATTGCGGTTGGGTTTGACCGAGAAGTGCAACTGTTTCATACACTTCTCAATCATACCCACGCTATACGGCCTCTTCGTCTCCGGATTCACGCATTTGTCGGCAATTATGGTCGCAATCTCTTTGTAAGTGCCCTCTAATTGATGAGACCTCTCCTTCTCACTGATCTGTAGTTCTCCTTTCGATAGGATCTGTGAATAACATTCAATACAAACATTTAATGAGCGAATGGTTTGATAATAAACGCAATCGTTGTCCACAACCAACACCTCATACCTCGAGACACGCTTTCATGTGGTCTTCGGTGCCGAACGCCTTAATCAGATCCTCTTTCTTAGCGGTCTGTCCTTTGGACACATTCGTGAAGACCATCGGTGTCTGCAGGACTTCATCGATGTCTGTCTCGCTATTGAATACAATGTATATAACGTTAATGTCATTCAGTGATCATCGGATGGCATGAGTGGTGCGCTCAAGACATACACTTTCTGTCGATAAGAGACCACTTTATTCTTATAGCACGCGATCTCAAAACGTTGTCCGCATTTCTTCATCCGAACGATGGCTACGTTTGTCATCCTTTGCTGATTAGTCGGTGTCTTAATCATTGCCATCTTATTTGCGGATCAATTGGTTTCGATGTCAACACAAAAAACAAAACAACAAAAACGTTATGAAAGCGTAAACAACAGCGCAAAACACGTGACACTCATATCACACACACTGTTATGCAATACATACACAACACGTGACACACAATTGCCGTATGATTTGAATCACGTGTCAAACGTTAGGGGCTTTTAAATTGAAGGACAGGTTATGTAATCGCGAATTGAGTGCAGAATTGAGTGATAGGTTGGCATCGATTCACACAATAAGCGGTGTTTTGAGTGAATGTATTGTTTGCGCAAAACGTTAGCGAATCACCCATTGATCCCACGTTTAGTCCGTTCTTCGCATACAATGCTATTCACGGGTCAGTCCGACCGCTACAGAGGTCTTCACTGCGAGTTACGCAATGACTCACAGTTCAAACACGTGTCCACTCATGAGTTTGAGTCTTCGCTTAAAGGTTTGCATCGAGTCTTTGCGTCCAAACTATGCCTTCATTAATGAATATCCCTTAAGGGATGGTTTGGTACACATTTGTACCAAACATTGACCACAATTAGTGGTCAGTATAGGAGTTAACGGTTAACTTCTATATTTGATCCCCGATTATAGACGCCATCGAGCGCTGGACTCGCGAGGAATACCGGGTTTCGTGGTTTCAAATTGGACTCAATTTAACGCATTTTATTCCCGCTTTAGTCAAAGTAATCACTCATTCATTACTTTCTCTCTATATTTGAATAACTAATGAAACCATTGATTGAATGGACGGATAGTTTGGTTACGTTTTCCATCACTCGAAGACTGATTACGTGGTTATGAATAAGTGGTTGTCGACAACAGAGCCCAAGAATATTCCCGGCTATGCCTTCACTAACGTCGGCGTCGGTATAGACTATAAACACCTAATATATAACCATTTGATTGATCCGTAATTTCGGATCATTAATGATTAAATTAATCATTAAATCATTATAACATTAATGATCGGCCGTTTTGTGGCCACTCGTTAGGCGGTCTTGTGATCGACGATAACGATAGGGTTTTGGTGGTGAAGGAGAAGCACTTCTTCGGCAATCAGCAAATGTGGAAATTTCCCGGCGGTTACGCCATTCAGGGCGAGGACTTCGGACAGACAGCCGTACGGGAAGTGCTCGAAGAGACGG